TCTGGGAACTCTGATGTTTACACTATTTTGAAAACAAATTGTAATAACTGAATGGCTTTATATGATTTAAAAAGTTTTAAATTGACTCGAATTTTATGGATGTTACAAGTTGGTATCATAGCATTGGTTTGAGTGAATTGGAGGAACATTCGTGTGAATCCAGTCTCAAATCAAGGAAAGGTTTTCAAAATGATTTTTTAAAAGGGTTTTCAAAATAAGTAAAGGAGGACGCAGAGTGTACGATCAGCCGGAGCCAATAAGTGAACCCCAAAATACCATACACTTATTTGATTATGTGATATGTTAGAACAACATGCTAGTACTAGGCTAGGGATCTTCAGGAATTGCATGATAGAATTGCCAGATTACATGATGCCTGCTAACCTAGGGTTTCCTTTATATGAAATTGACATCATTACTGTAGTTGCTTAGTGTATGCATCACAGTTATACATAATTAAGATCTTATAGCCTGAGAATGTTTGATTTGGCCTTATGTTCTGTTCTTGTCTGATTGGGAGCTTAGGGTAGGATTGGATATTCGAAAGTCTATGGGTTCCCGCGTTATGTATGGCTAGCATACACTAGTGCTGCAGGGTTGGTGGAAGTTTCATGGATGGGTGGGTTATGTGAGGCCAGTAGGCCAGTTATGAGATATTTAGCATTTCCTCTAGGAGTGAGGATTGAGCGCTCGCTATATTTGTGTGTATTGTTAGGGCGTTGTGATGATACTTGGGAAAAATATGGGTAGGTGTGGAAGGTAGTATGGGCCTGTACTACTGAAAGCACAGGACCCATACGCGTATCAAGGAAGTCACAACCCCTAGGGTTTTGGTTGGGAGTTGGTTCCCGGGTTGTTCTGAGGAGTATCTGATATCTTTTCGGTATGTTTTCAATATGGTGATTACACGACGATTAGTGACTGGATCAGGGTCAGGATCAGGAGAGGACGGACAGGAGGCGCCGACAGCGCCCGAGACTATCAGCCAGATGAGGCCAGACGAGATGGATGACAGGATCCAGGAGATCCTGCATGATGAGGTTGCTTCTATGTTTCGGGCTCAGTTGCCGAAGATGTTTGGGTCTATCAAGACGGCCATGGTCGAGTACTTTGACGAGCGTTATGCAGCCCTTGCGGAGGTGGCTGCCGCGGCAGCTACTGCAGCTGTAACAACGGCAGGGGTAGGAGCCAGTCGGGCTTTTCAGTATCGGGACTTCGATAACACAAAGCCCCCGACTTTCGATGGGATTCAGGACCCTATCGTAGCCATGAGGTGGCTATCGGACATCGAGGGATGCTTTTTCACATGTTCCTGCCCGGCTGACTAGAAGGTCAGGTGTGCCTTGAACATGTTGAGCTTCGGGGCGAAGGACTGGTGGAGGTTGATGACATGGTCTTATTCAGATGAGTAAAGAGTTGTAGTTTCTTGGGATCAGTTTAGGGAGATGTTCTGCTCCAGTTACATTCCGCGAGTCGAGCGTGAGCGGCTAGCTCGGGAGTTCTTGGAGTTGAGACAGGGTGCAGAGTCGGTGACGGAGATCACCCGTATATTCACTGAGAGGGCGATGTTCTGTCCGGATTTTGCTTCCAAGCAGGCTCAGATGACGCATTATCTGAGCATGCTCAAGACGGACATTAGACAGTTTGTTGCTACCCATCGATGTGATACGTTGCTGGACTTACAGGAGGCCGCTAGGCAGCGTGAGCTGGAGATTGAGTTACAGTTGCGAGAACAGAGGCAGGCCCAGGTACAGTCGCAGCCGGTGCCAAAGCGGTCAAAGACCGCTGATTCTAGGTTTGGAGGCCAGAGCGGCCGCACATGTGAGAAGTGCGGGAAGGGTCACTTCGGAGTTTGTAAGTCCGGTAGTGCGTGCCGCAAGTGCGGAAAGGAGGGGCATTATGCGAGGGATTGTCGCCAGTTGGCCTCGGTTCAGGACATGAGGATTTGTTATCTCTGCCATCAGGTTGGTCACGTGAAGACCAACTGTCCACAACTGGTTGCTAGACCGGTGCAGGCTCCAGCGTCGGCTACATTGAGGATTACTGACGGGGGTCAGGGTAGAGCAGAGCCCCCGAGGGCTCAGGGACGTGCCTTCCAGCTTACAACAGAGGAGGCCAGGACAGCGCCAGATGCAGCTGCTGGTATGTTTCTATCTGTATCTTATTGTTTAGAATTATATTGTGAATTTCCCATCCCTTTCTACATATGGCATAGGAGAGTTTGAGGAATTTAGTAACAAGGGTTGTAGACGGTTAGTATCCAGGGGTGTTGGTGATCAGAAGTTAGGATATAGGATCACCATTCCAGGGCCAGAAACAGTGAATTGGAGATGCAGAAGTGTCACTGGGATTCGGGTTTCTTCTGAAGTTCGGTTGCTCCATGCCAGGAGGGTTGTTTTGTGGAGATTATTTGTCCAGGATTCATCGTTCTATGGTGAAGTGTGGAAATGCTTTGGTTAGGACGGTTAATTAGTGTTTTGACTTCGCCACTAGTAGGTAGTGGTTAGTGTCCCAAGTGGGGGAGAATTAGGAATATTTAGATGGAGCATCAGTCGTTGAGGGCTTTGTTAGCTGCCAGGGCTCGACAGTACATTCAACACGAGTTATGCAGGTTGATTTGCGTGTATTGGTAGTCAGTCGGTGTCGTAGGATCGACGCGGTATGGCCAGGGGTTAGAGTCCGGGGTTATAGCCGAGAAGGAAGGCTGCATATCAGGAAGGGGTTGGCCTAGGGTGAGCCCCAAGTGGGGAGAAGTCGGTCAGGAAGAGAGAGGAGGCGGGGGGTCAGGCGAGCTCAACGAGAGGAGCGCGTCGGTAGAAGGTGGGTGGGAGGCCTGGTACCTAGTCGAGAAGGCCGAAGAAGTGAGGGCTGGAGAAGCAGGGTCTGCTCCAGTTTAGAGTGGTCCGATACTGAAGGCCGGTTGGAGTAGCCAAGTCGGAGACTCGAGGCTGGCCTAGAGAGGCGGTCCAGGCTGAAGTTCGAGAGTGGTCCAGATAGACTGAGGCTGGTGAGGCGGTCCAGTTACTGAAGACTTTGTAGTGTTTGTAGATCTATGTGCGAGTATTAAGTATGCTGTTATGCTATAACAATCAGCAGGTCTGTCCCCAGGTATTGAGCATGTTGTTGGAGTAGGCTGAGGACTCCGGTGTATTTTTGGGTTTGATAGAAAGTTGTTATTAGAGATCGGATGGAGTATAGAGAATCTTGGTGATCTCATTAGTTCGGAGTGCCTCAAAAGATTAATCTTCTCGGATCGGGTAATACTCCAGTTGGGGACTGGGAAGTAGATCTGATTGGGTATTCGTCAGCCTTAGGAAGGCTTGGGATTAGAATATACTGACATTCAGGTTCTGGGAACCGGGTTAGATCTTTCTCATGATCGTCTATGTCATTTGGATAGGGTTGAGGTGGTCCTGCTCTGTGCGGTAGGCCAAGATACCCGGTGCGGGCCGACTGGAAGTCGTAGGCACGGAGGCTCAAGGGGAGCGGTAGGGTTGAGGCGGTAGGCCAACAAAACCTGAGAATTTCAACTCGATAGTTGAATTGATTAGACATGTTGGTATTCCAACCCGAAGGGGGTGATAAGTGTTAGATATGAGTGCCGTACTAGTTGGCCGTTAGTGGTAGGTATGTTGATGACTGACGACGCACAGTTTATATGACTAGTTCCAGTCCGATGTCATTGGCCGCGTACCAATAACACCAGACTGGGGGGACTTGATGATATATGGTCCATTGGCATGGCCTAGACTGCTCTAGCGCGCCAGCCTGGCCTGGCGCGCTCCTGCCAGTCCTGCCTAGCGTTCCCTTGTCAGCCTTGCTGGGGACTCCCTTGCCAGCCCTGCTGGGGACTCTCCTGCCGGCCCGGACAGACGCTCCCTCTCCTGGCACTCCTTTGCCATCCTTTCCTGGGGCTCGGAGAGTGGGCCAGATAGACTGAAGGCCCGACGCGGGCGGTCCAGTCAGACTGTAGACTTAGAGGGTGGACCAGATGGACTGAAGGACTGGTGAGGGCGGACCAATCATACTGTAGACTCGAGATGCATGGTTGTTTTGTGTTTGTTATATGATATGGTTATGATATTGTTGAGGTTGGTATTTTGGGGGTAACTCACTAAGCTTTCGGGCTTACAGTCTCAGTTTATTGTTTCAGGTTCAGTGGATGACCGCGGGAAGGCGAAGGCGTGACCGTACACTTCTTCGATTTATGATTATGATTTCTGGGAACTCTGATGTTTAAACTATTTTGAAAACAAATTGTAATAACTGAATGACTTTATATGATTTAAAAAGTTTTAAATTGCCTCGAATTTTATGGATGTTACAAAATAAGTCGGCAAAGTGTCATAAACCTCATTATATAATTTTACCCACTGATTTTCTAGGAGGATGGGGAATATGGGTAGGTTGGTGGCTTGGGCCATTTCTTATGTCAGTAACAAGAGAAAAATTAAATATCATATTTTATTTTCTTTCTATTTATCCTCCTAATCATATAAGATTATGACATGCAAATATCATTAATTCTATTTTTTTTAATTTCTTCTTTTGAATTTGAAATATGTATTGATCTAATGAGTACGTAAATAAATAGAAATAAAATGTAAGAAGATATATTATTTTTCATGATAAAATTAAAGAATGATATAAAACTATAATAATCGTTTTATTTTGGACAGAGGCTACAACTATAATAAACTTTTGCTAGAAGGACCTTTTTAACAAAACAAAAAAAAATGAAATTAATCCATAAAAACCAATATGGTGTAAGCTTAAGGACTATTTTTACAAATTTCTCTAAATTGTATGGTATCGTTAGAAAAACCCTACAAGAAAGCATAGCTACTTTTGATACGATAAAAATGTTGGGTGTTCTTTCTTTAATCATTTTCTTACTAGGGGTTATAATGAAATAAATAGGATGAAGACTTGATTTTCTAGAAGTCTATTTTGGATGTATTTATATCGGTGTGCATTGACCCCCAGGCCGTTGTAGAAAGGGAGAACATATATGCATATTTGTAAAATGATGAACAAGAACAAAACATGAAAGTCGTCATCATCATCATCAATAGAGCTAAAGGGTTATCTCATCACATATATATACCCAAGCTTCCCCTTTCCTAGGGCTGGTTTTATGGCACCGCCTTTCTGACAGTTGCTGTTCTGTTTTCTAGACCATCGCCACTGTCCATCGCCAAAACCACCATTTTTAATCAAGCTTTCTCTCTCTAGAACTTTTTTTTTCCCTACTTTTGCTTGGCATAAAAGTGAAGCTTTTAAATTTGCTTTTTGTTCTTGTTCAATTCGCACATGTTTTTCATCAGAAAGATAAGTTCTTTTTAGATCTCGATGAGTTATTTTGTGGTTGCAAAAGGAAGAACTTCATAAAGATCGAGACAAGATAGACTTTTTAATACTCTTTTTTTTTTTTTTTTTTTTAAGTTTCACCATAATCATAACATCTTCATCATCATCACGTATGAACTGAAATGGCTGAAGAAGAGAAGATCATCAGAGGGAGTAATACTATGGTCGACGACTCTACAGATAATTACAATTGTTACTCTGATGATGATCATCATCATCGTGTGAATTCATGTAGTAACCGTAATGCTACAACTACCTTTGAAACAAGCCCTTTAGAGATCTTCAACTACGAGTCACACAACTCGGTGAGTCACAACTCACCGATGTTCTGGAAAGACCCTTCTTCTCCTCCTTCTTCCAAACCGATCACTGATTCAGATTTCTATCATTTTGATGAGTCGTCTCTGCAAAGATGTGTGTTTCCTTGTGCACCGAATGAAAGGCCAAGTCAAGGTCTCTCTCTTTCTCTCTCTTCAGCTAACCCTCCCACCATAGGAATACAACCATTTGAGCTTGTAAGACCACAAGAACATCATTATGAACATCATCACCACCAGGGGTATTTTGGAAAATCCATGAGTATGGATCATGACCAACATCATCAAGACATGATGACTCAAGATGGGTTTTTGGGAAGACCTGGAAACATCATTAACAGTAGTGGCGGCGATGGTGATATTGATGGTGGTGGTGGCGGCGGTTCTCACTATAACCACTATCAAAGTGCACAGTACAACTTAAGAACTTCGAGATACTTGGTTGCAGCACAAGAGCTTCTCAACGAGTTCTGTAATCTTGGATCAAAGCAAAGCGATCATTCACCAAAAGCGAAGGGTGTAGACACAACATCAAATCAGTGGCAAGATACACATGATAACTTGAATAATGCTAGTTCTTCAAAAACCAAATCTTTATCTTCTATTGAACTTATGGAATTGCAAAAAAGAAAAACGAAGCTTCTCCAAATGCTAGAAGAGGTATAATTTCTTCCAATTTTTATTTTTTTCAAATTTACACATATTTAGATTATAAATTTCATGCTTTAAATATACTTCGAAATTGTTTCGATTATATTGTTGTAAAGTATCTTTCTTTCTTATTTTTTTTTCTTTTTCAAAAATTAAAGATTCCCTTTTTTAGTTGAAGAATTTGATGTCTTTTAATAAAAGAAATTGATCTTGAACCATTTAAGTGACTGAGAACCTTCCCACAAATGTTCATATGATGACAAGTTGGATGCTTCATTTAATTCAAGAAACCTCCATTCTTGTTCACTGATTTTATATATTAATTATTCCTCACCTTGTTTATTTTTAATATTAATTAATGAAAAATATCTGATCTTTATTTTGTTTTTATTCATTAAATTAGGTTGATAGAAGATACAAGCATTACTGTGATCAAATGAAAGCAGTTGTATCATCATTTGAAGCAGTGGCTGGTAATGGTGCTGCAAAGGTTTACTCATCCTTGGCTTCAAAGGCAATGTCAAGGCATTTTAGGTGTTTGAGAGATGGGATTGTGAGTCAGATCAAGACGATGAAGATGGCAATGGGAGAAAAAGACGTTTCTGCCCCTGGGTCGAGTAGAGGTGAGACTCCAAGACTTAGGGTTCTTGATCAAACCCTAAGGCAACAAAGAGCTTTTCAACAAATGACCATGATGGATAGCCATCCGTGGAGGCCTCAACGAGGATTGCCTGAGCGATCTGTTTCTGTTCTTCGTGCGTGGCTATTTGAGCATTTTCTTCATCCGTAAGCAATTATAAATCCTTCAAAATACCTATTTTCATGTAGCACAATTCGTTTATTATCTTTTTTATAGATATCGTACGAAAGTGCTAAAGAAATATGATTTTGCCCTCAATCATACGTTTTGGAAAGACAATTTGGTATTTTTGTTGTTTTCATCTACCTCATTTTGATTCCAATATTTATTTTGTCATATATATTATCTCTCCCCACCATAAATTATTTAATTTTATCTTTTCTTTTGGGACCTTCCTATTATATTTTTTTGTGGATTTGATTCCTATTACAACTTTCGTATAGGTCCCATGAATTCATGTACTCATATGCATCTTCATCAACCCTCATGATCCACACAATCTTTTTATGTTATTTTTCGATTATTCCGGTGAAAAATAAAACAATATATAGTAATTAAGGGCATTAATTTATATTAAATTAAACTCTATAAATTTTAATATATTATCATATAAGTATTATATTTTTCATACAAAACTTTTATTTAATTTATACAATATCTTGAGCTCTAACAAATTCAAAAAGTTAAACTAAAAAAAATAGTTTTGTTGAACTTTCAATCCTATGAATGTCAACAAATGTCAACTTGGTAGCCCTTATGGTTTTGTTTAGCATTCCACATCGTTCCATCTCATTCAACCATGCATCGAGGATGCTTTCGCTTAATTATGTTAAATTTCTTGCAATGCCTTTCTATATTAATTCTATTTTCATATAAACATTTCAGGTATCCTAATGATGTTGATAAACACATTCTTGCACGACAAACCGGTCTCTCTAGAAGTCAGGTATGTCCACATCGATTTCTTATTGTTATATATACAACTATAATTGACAATAATTGTTATATATTTTAAACATTTCATTGGATAAAATCTGAAGTTTAAATGATACATCATTGATGGCAATACTACACTAATAAGTGTAATATTGTTTATATATCAAACATAAAGCGTAATGCATGCATGGTACCACCACAAACTAGAACCAGCTAAAGCCTTTGCTCATAACTTTTAATTTTCATGTGTAGGTATCAAATTGGTTTATTAATGCACGAGTGAGGCTGTGGAAGCCCATGGTAGAGGAGATGTACATGGAAGAAACAAGAACAAATCAAGAAACCATGGAAGGAACCTCAGATGGGTTTAATCCAAACCCACAAATGGACCAAAAACCGACTGCTGATGAGCTTGTTAGAATAGATTCCGAGTGTCTTTCTTCCATCATCAACCACCCTGAAAAGATGGATCACCAACGACCAAAAACCATAGATCATGACTTTCACCACTCTTTTCCTAGGGTGACAAATTCATTTGGTGCAGTGGAGCTTGACTTTTCGTCCTACAACAGTCATCAGAATATTGGTGGAGGTGGTGGTGGCAGTGGTGGAGGGGTTTCTTTGACTTTAGGGCTGCAACAACATGATGGTGATGCCGGAGGTGATGGTGATCGTGGTGGTGGTGCTGCTGGAGTGAGTTTAGCTTTCTCACCTACTTCACAAGGTTCACTATTTTACCATCGTGATCATATTGAAGATTGTCAAACAGAAGTTCAGTATTCTTCTCTTTTGGAAGGCGATCAAGGACAGAACTTGCCTTACAGGAATTTGATGGGAGCACAACTTCTTCATGATTTGGCTGGTTAAGATTTGAGAACAATTATTTATTAAAATAGTTCTAGCCATATATAAATATTTAAATTGAAAAGAAAATACGGGGCTTATAATTTTCAATTCTAGGCTCCTTCTAGCTTGATTATAATGATATACTTCAATTAGCTTTAGATTTACAGTCAAATTTAGAATTCTTCAATGGCTAGTATCGCTTCTGAAGCTTTTCGTCTTGGTTCAATATCATGGGCATTTTAGTCATTTTACTTTAGTATATGTTAGAATGGAAAATTCAGTCATGGGAAATCTTCCGTTGATTTATTGCAAGAGTATTAACTTCCTTCTCCTCTGGGCATCATGATATTCTTTTTTATGACACACCTACCTATTTTATTTAATAAATTTTTAGCAACATTTGTTTCAATTTCACAAGAAATGACATGAATTAATAGAATGAGAAATTAAATATCATATTTATTTTTCCAACGTATTGATAAATAGAATCAGATATTTCTTTTGCTTCTTTTTTTTTTCTTGTTTTGTTCGCAAGTCTTAAACACGGGTCAAATCATATGAAAGCACAAGCTAACTGATCAAGGCTTTTATGGTTGAAGTTTACATCAAAGGAGTTCCAATTTCTTAGGTGCATATGTACAATTAATATAAAACAAAATTCGATTTTTTGGATTTATTTAGTTTATTAAATTGAGCAAGAAAAATCTGTTAGGGATTCAATTTTCAAACCTTAGGACTGGACATTTTGTAATGCATTTCATATTACATTGTCGTCATTAGTTTATCGTCGTGGTCCCTATTAGTGTTCGTTTTTTCCATATAAAAGACAACCGATATTTTTCTCATTTAATGTGTTTTCTTGTTCGCTTTTCATTCATCAAATGAAGGAAAACGTGCATTTATTAATCGTTTTTTTAGATATAAAATTTAAAGCAAGCGTGCATGGAAATATTATAGACAAACTCCTATAGCTAGATATGATATTCATATATCTCGTCTTTTCAAGTAAATACGTGAACACGACCCATAAACAGAAATGGGGACGAACAATACGTCATCGATTGCAAAGTAGAGTGTTTTCGATCTCTAATAAACGTAACAAGAACACCCGGATTCTCATATGATATAATACGCATATTCCATTTTGGTAAACATATATTTGCATGATAACGAACTTAAAACTTTATAACATGAAACAATAACAATATGCATTTGCCTAATAAGTGTTATATATATTAACTGATTCAAATTAAGATAGATATGGTTTATTCTTTATTCCTGCAATATGTTCTAGTTTAAAATATTTCATGGATCATGTAAGTGTTAAATTTTCTTCTTAAAATTAACATTTAACAACAAACTTTTAAAATAGTTCGTTTTACTATTTTCTTTTACTTAAGTAATAATAATAATAATAATAACAATAATAATAATAATAATAAGAGTTTTGTTTACAGAAAAGTTATAATATTTTTGTTTACAGAAAAGTCATAATATTTTTATTTACGGAAAAATCCAAATATTTTGGGTTAATTTACGAAATAGTCCCAAATTAATTTGGTACCGGTTGCAACCGATCAAAAAGGGTCAAACTGTAAATTTTTGCTGGTTTTCAGGATTTTTTCGTTTAAAAAAAATCTTGGAACTAAAGTGTAATTTTTCCGTAAATATTTGGACTTTTTTGGAGATTTCCCTATATATATATATATATATATATATATATATATATATATATATATATATATATATATATATATATATATATATAGGCTTAGGTTATTCTATTCAAACTAAATATTGTATGAATGTATGAATCATTGTGAACCAATCGTTTTACTTATTTTTGGAAAGTGAATAATACATATTATTAAATTAAATATAATTAAAAAAATACCATCTAATTTCATTCTAATGGTATTTTAATCAATTAACATAAATTAAAAAAAAAGAAAATTGCATATTTTAAGGGAAAATAGATTCTATTAATTTTAAAAATCTGGTTGTATGTATGATAATTCTCCTAATTCGAAAATTCTGACGAAATATGTTTATCAATATATTGAAAAATAACAAATATGATTGAACCATACAAGAATACACATTCTGACATAATATATATTTTGATTTAATGAACTTCTTGAAGAATAACAAAATTTTGGATACAAGTTAAAAAAAATTTCATTACATTTTTAGAAAAGAAAAAAAAAATTATATATACTATTCTATGAGAATGTTACACTTATTAATAACAAAAAAACACAATATATAAATCATTCTATCAGAATATACTATTACATATATTTTTTTCATTATATTGTATGTTGTTCTGGTAGAATAATCCATTCTTTTTGGAAGATTGGTGGTCATTGTTCATCTTCATCCCATGCAATGTTCATCTTCAAGATTCTATTCTGACATAATCAGAATTCAAGATTCCATTCCAATAGAATGTTGTAAGTTTCATATGTACGTACCATGTTTTGCTTTGATATCTCTCGTTTCGTTCCCAGCCAAGAAAACAAGAACATTCTTGTTCTTGATTTCATGTATACCTTTATTGCTTAATCTTCTTTCCATGGCAATTTCAAGCAATAAACACCACATCGAATTCTGTCAAGCAAAACAAACAATTTCCTGTAAAACATTAACCCCAGAAATCTATTCAATTTTATCCATTTCTATCAAGAACAATCAAACCCACAACCCATCAACACTTACTGAATTTTTGTCAAAACAAAGGAAAGAAAAACAAAATCAAAGGAATATCCATGGCCACATTTGGTCTACTGCTACTCACGTTTTCAACAATACATACTAAGAAGTAAATTACGATAATTCAACAATACCTATTATAATACTAACCATAATTTTGTAAACTAATTTAGTGGCTAAATTGTATGCTAGTATTAGCCAGGGGACTAAACTTTACAAATCATATATGCTTCGTTCTAAATTTCATGCTATCAATAATATATGAAATGGAAACCATGGGACTCAAATCAAGTTTACCGAATAAATATGAAAATTAAGCAATTGATGATTAAAGAAATTACAAATATTAAAAAAAAAAAAAACTAATGTATATACACAAAAACAATGACAGTAGGCATATATATATATAAAAAGTAAAGGAATACCTTTAGGTTGCGTCGCCAGCGGCTAAAAAATTCAATTTAATAATAATAGTCAATTAAGCCAAAGAATGCTTAATTTTTGGTGTTCTATGGTTCGCCGCACTTGATTGTTGACGGTTAATTTAAGAATAAAATGATCTCTGATTTATGGGGATATGGTTATGGAGATAGCGACATGATTCAAGGATGAAAGGGAGGAGTGAGATTGTTGAGGCAGTAATAGCGGTGCTCACTACTAGAAAAAACAGGTATCAACGATGGAAATATTCCCTAGCTAATTAGTGACGGACTAGCAAGGGATCAGCGATAGAAAAAAATAGGATTTTTATTCCGTAAATTCTAGCCATTTAACAAGGTATTTGAGAGGGATTAGCAACAGAATCAGCAACGGAAATAATCCCTCGCTGATGAGTTGGTGAAATCGGTCGCTAAGTTTTAATTCTCTCTCATATTTTCGCTAAATTTTCAATTCCCTCCCATTTTTTTCTTTCCCCGCCGATGCCTCCCTCCCAAATCATTAATTCTTAACCTAATTTTTATTTGGCACCTCCAGGCTCCACCCCCAACGTCGGCTCTTGGCGCCTCTAACCCCATCATCGATGATTCCAGTCGTACAGGCCCCAATTACCTTCGATTCCGGCCGCCTCTACACCCACCATCGGTTATTCACGACTTTAGGTCAAGCTTCTTAGCTATAAATGCTTAGTTAGGGTTAGGAAGATACAAAGAAGCAAAGAAATTAAACGAGATTGTAGTAAATAAAGGAATTTCATAGCGTGTTTGGGTATTAGCAATAGAGTCACATTTACAGGCAGTAGGCACTTCTCGGGAAGAGACAGCAATTGGTGTGTTCTCTTGGACTTTTAGGGAGGTACCAAGTCAGTATTTCCGCATCAATTAGGGTGGTTCAGAGATTCTCGGTGATTTGAGTAAACGGAGAGAGTGATAGGGTTAGGGCCAAATTGGTTGCTGAGTTTGTGTCCAATAACAACCTTATCCCTCTTTTTCCTGGAGATTTGGCTGCAAATAAGAGGGTTGCCATACATGCTCTTCTCTGGAACCGGTAACTCACTGTTTAATGTTTATTTACTTTTATAGTTTTGTAGTTACAATGATACAAATATCACTGAAAAGTTGCAATTCCCCCTCAATGCAACAAATTATTTCAGGTCTGAGGATTATGATGTGAGTGCAGAAATTTTTGAGAAGTCTCTGCTTTATGTCCCTCATGACATAGAGAACAGATCTATTTGTACTTATTGAAATTGGTTTACACTGTCACACGAAAATAAGCCGATCAATCTTGAGTGGATGACATTATCGAAGGCATAAAAGGTTCTTGTGTAGAGAGCAATTACTAGCTAAAAAGAAGGAAAATCAAATCTTTTTGTTTGTTTGCAGGTATGTCGTTAAATGCAGATCAATCTTGATTATGTTAAGATCAGGACTTTTGGTTTACACTGTCAAACAAAACTAAGCTGATCAATCTTGATTTTTTTGTAGGAAGGTTGGAATGAAGAATGGGATCTGGTGGATGCAGAGCAGTTTTCAATAGATGCCTAGATGCAGGGGCGAAGTCAGATTTTTTTTTTTAGGGTGTTCCTCATAAATTAGTTAGAAAACATACTCACCACATACATATATATATATATATATATATATATATATATATATATATATATATACATACAGAGAGAGAGAGAGAGAACCAGTCCGTTGATTTTGAAGGGATCGAACACCTCTACCAGTTGAACTAAAGAACTTCCTTGTTAATATTTGCACCAAATTATATATATTAACAAATTAACAATATAAAAGATTTTTTTTTGAAAATTTGAGGGTGGGCCTGGGGCCACCCTGGCTCTCATGTGGCTCCGCCCATGCCTAGATGAAACCTAAGTATCCCACTCGATGAAAAATCTACATAAAACGTGAGTATTTCATTCTTTTTTCTGTTCTTTGAAATCAATATTTTTTTTTTCAGTAGGCAAGTATTTCATTTGGTTAGAATTTGTTTATTATTATTATTATTATCATAGTTCGTGTTATATGAAAAACATTTGTATTATATTTTCTTAGGGAGAGTTAATGAGCAATGAACCAGTGAACCCTAAGGAATGTGTAAATTTTCGAGCTTGGGGTGGCAAAACTTGTAAGGGACATATAAGGTACTTAATACCGTCTTAAATGTATAATTAATTTTGTTTTGTATTCCATATCATTTTTACTTGTTTGCTTTACTTTGTTTATCAAGTCATACAACCCCATTATAGAATTTTATATCTATTGTTTGATAATTATATTATTGTTTTCATATCTGCAGTTTATCATGAAGAAATGGAGGCCAGAAGATAAGAAATCGAGAAGTTGTATAAAAAATATAGAAGTTAATTTGCCCAAAAAGCAACCCATCCACCTTTTAATATTTTAAACAATCCACCAATTTTGATACTTTTGACATATGTCCTTTGATTTTGTTATTTTGAATTTTAGTTTTGTAGTTTTTGTACATGAATAGAACATAACTCTATGAATTTTGGTTTTGCAATATATGATTTCAATTTCATATGTGAATTTGGTTATAGAATATCAAAAATTTCATTGTAGCCAACCGACAAATCTACAAATGACTAACGACCACACCTAGCAACAAATATTATTTAGCTAATGCAAAATAAACGACAGAATTTATGGGTACCCTAAGCTAATCAGCGACGGATTACCAACGGAATCCAGAGGTTCCTTGAGCAATTTGTGTCGTCGCGAATCTGTCGCTGATCCGTCGCTAAATCCCTCGCTGACAACTAGCGAAAAGGGTTTTTTTGACCGTCAAGTTCCGTCGCTAATCCGTCGTTGATAGCCTTTAGTGATAGATTAGCGACGAAATTTTCCGTCGTCGATACCTCTGTTTCTAGTAGTGGTGGCCGGTAGAGGACAGCCGGTGGAGAGAGTTACCAGTGGTTTTTGGCCGCCGATAAAATGGTTGTGGTCGATGGTTTATCGGGGAATAGGGTTAACAAAGATGAACGATCGGTAAAGTAAAATTGATTTTCTATTTAAACGGGTTATTAATTCAATTAACAATTACCATAAATAATTATAGCTAACATTACCAAATTACCCTTTTGGAATGATTGACCCACAATTATACATACAATGACACAATAATTACTTTGAATACCTGAGCCTCTCTCTCTCTCTCTCTATATATATATATATATATATATATATATATATATATATATATATATATATATATATATATATATATATATATATATATATAGGTAAAGATTCAAATGAGAACCAACAAAGATTAGGAACCTAAGAACCACTTATATTTAGGTTATCAATAATGTATTTCCATATTTGTTTTTTTGTTTTTTTTTTCATTTTTGATAAGTTGTCAAAAAGAAAAGGGACATTGTTTGATTAGATGTTTCATTTCACCATACTTGAAAAACATTTTTCATATTTCCCTTCTTCCTTCCTTCAGTGACACCAACCACCGCCGCCCCTACCACCAACGTTATTCCAGCGACTTTCCACCACCAGCACGACTTCCTCTGTTCACTTCGGCTACCTTCTCCTCCGTTCACTTCTGCTACCGTCATCTCCGATCTCCAATGAACCACCAGATCTGCATCAGATCTGACTTGATTAAATCAGATTTCATCAGATCTACAAGAAATCTCACCGGATCTACATCAGATCGTGATCTCGAAACCGCCACCACGAATCAGATCTAGATCTAGAAATCACCACCACTAAAAACGACGACTGATGCCTCCGGGGAACTGAAACCAACCACTGTTGGCCCACCGTCACCACTTCACTCCTCCATTGCCTTCTCCGACGACATCACTTTTTTCAATGAAGCACCTGGACAGTGTTCCTTCCGCTACCTCCCGTTCCAAACCTTAGGCAAAACCCTAGACATGCAACTCCATCAACGAGGCTCTTAGATCTGAAGTGGTATGGTCCAGATCTATGATCTCCGATGACAAATAATAATTTTCGACTTTAGATCTTTGATTTACACCTCCAGATTTACGAGCTCTGACGATTTTGCTAGACAAGTTCATAGAGCGCTGCTAAACACCACCGTCGCTGCTGCCTTGCGCTCCGGTGAAACACCGGCAACTCGTCTCCATCTCTCTCTCTCTTTCTCTCTCTCTCTCTCTCTCTCTCTCTCTCTCTGATCTCCAGTAAAACACCACCATATATGCATCAGGTATGTTGACTTTTGCTTTGATTGTTTTCTCTTCTATTAAGTTGTGAATTAATGTTTAAATATCTTATTTATTTGTTTACTTTTCTTAATAAGGCTGTGAATTCATACTTTAGCAAAATATATGACGAGATCTGTAAAAAATGAAAAACAAATAAAAAAGCATCTGAGATATTTTTTCACATCTCTGAAACCACTTTGCTTCTTAGTCTGTACAAAAAAACTCACTACAGAAAAATGAAATATAGAATATCAATTCAATTTTTCCTTAATAAGGTTGTAAAGTGTAAAGAAAAAGAAGTAAAGTGCAAAGAAAAAGAAGAGAAACCCTCTTCACAATACATAAATACTTGTTTTTTTACTTTACTTTCAATTAAAATTTCTTCAATAAGAAATTTTAATTTTAAGCTGTGAATGCATAAGTATTTGTTTTTTACTTGCATCTATTGTAGATCTCTATGATATAGTTTTTTGTTTGTTTTTTTTTTCTATTAAAGTGTGAATTTGATGTTTTAATATCTCATTAGTCGTATAATTTTTGTTAATCTTACTTTTATCTTCTATTAAGTTGTGAATGTATAATTTTTTTTGGATTAAACTTTGAATTGATTGTACTAGTTTGTGAATTTTCTATATTAAATTGTGTATTAATTGTAATAAGTGTTTTAAGTTGATAATATGGATGTGAATACTACTTTTTGTGTATTAAAATGTGAATTTAGTGTACTCAGCTGTGATTTTTGTGTTTTAAATTGTGAATTGATTGCATTAAACTTTGAATTTTCTTTTTAAACTACGAATTGACTGCATTAAGTTTTGAATTTTTTGTTTGAATTGTAAATTGACTAGAATAAGATGTGAATTATATGTATGAAACTATGAAGTTACTTGTATTAAGCTATGAATTTTGTGGATGCATACTTTTTGTGTATTAAGCTTTGAATTTTGTGTACTAAAATGTGATTTTTGTGTTTTAAACTGTGAATTGACTGCATTAAACTGTGAATTTTCTTCTTAACTATGAATTGACTATATTAAGCTGTGAATTTTGTGTATTAAATTATGAATTGATTGTATTAAGCTGTGAATAAATTGACATTAAACTGTGATTATTTTATAATTTTTTTGTTTGCTTTTGAAATAATATTAAATTTTATTCACAACTTAATATATTAAATTCACAATTTAAAATATGAATGATTTATGTATAATTTTTTTTGTTAAATTTTCTTCTGAATATATTTATTTTTTTGTGTTGTATAAGTATGTAAGAATACATTGGTTTTAATAATAGTTTTGCATTAAAATGAAAATGAATGAAATAAATGGTTTTATTAGACTGTAATTGTAGTATTTAAGTTATTAATGCATGACTTTATTTACAAATCTGTATTAAGTTGTGATTATTTTATAATTTTTTTGTTTGCTTTTGAAATAATGTAAATTTTATTCACGACTTAATATATTAAATTCACAATTTAAAATATGAATGATTTATGTATAAATTTTTTTGTTAAATTTTCTTCTAAATATATTTATTTTTTTGTGTTGTATAAGTATGTAAGAATACATTAGTTTTAATAATAGTTTTGCATTAAATTCAAAACAAGTGAAATAAATGGTTTTATTAGACTGTGATTATAGTATTCAAGTTATTAATGCATGACTTTATTTACAGATCTGATTTAGAAGAAAATGATGGTTGTGATGCTGGTACAGGTGGTTGTTAGCAACGTGTGGTGGTGGTAGTAGTAGAGTTTGAATTTTTGATTTGTTTCAGTTTGTGAATTATTGTAAAATGGTTTGTATTAAGTTGTGAATTTTGTGAACTAAACTATAAATGAACTGTATAAACTTGTAATTTATATAAGTTTTGTGTTCAAATATGAGAGCATATAGAATGAAAATATTATACTACAAAATTACAATTTTGCCCTTTTTATACCAAAAAGAGAAAAAAAGTAGGATTTTCACATGTTTAATAAGAATATCATGTAAATATTTACTAACTAATGACGATTCTTAGGGTTCTTAATCTTTTGTGGTTCTCATTTGAACCACTCCTTATATATATATATATATATATATATATATATATATATATATATATATATATATATATATATATATATATATATATATATATATATCCTCCTTAATAAATAAAGAACTTTTTGCCACATGTCTCCTTCTCCTTCATTTGGACACATGACATTTTCTAAAATTTTTGAATTTTCTATTTTCCACTTGTCATTTTATTGTATTTTTCATTTTATTAAATTAAAATTCCACATTTAATATGTAAGGTAATATATATGTAAGTTATTTATTAGAAAGAGTTTTTATATGTAATGTATTCAATATATTAAAGCCTCATTAATTTTAATAATTCAAAATTTTTCTCATTTTTCTTATAAATTCAAACTTTTCAAATTGTTAAAATTTTATATTTAATTTTTTTTAAATGAAGCCATGTAATACATGGGTCTCATACCTAGTATATATATATATATATATATATATATATATATATATATATATAGATATATATATATATATGCGGTGAGGTTCAATAGAAAACTATTATTAACCATGAAACCATGGAACTAATTTTTTTTTTTTTTAACTTTTAGAGCTTATTTCTTATAAAAAAGAATCAAAATATAAAAATTCATAACTTTTTATCCTTTTTCTAATGATATTAAATTCGAAAAAAAATTAGTTTTTTATCAGAATCACAGTGTGAATCTCTGCAGATTCACAGTGTGAATCTAACTCACACGGTGAATCCGAAAAAATATATAATTTATTTTTAGCATTCACAATATATTCCTTCATCCTCATTATATCTGTATGAATTCGAGACATGGATAATAGTCAATCTCAGAATTCAAGATTATGTTTCCCGATAAAGACTTGTGGTGACTGCATTTGACTACTAAATTGAACACATCAATTTCAGGCAAGACCCGACTAGGTATTCATGATGTCAACACTAAATCATCGAGGGGCACATAGATATCACTTCTCCTGTTAAGGCAGAAGGGACGGATAAACTGTGATTCCAATGTTTTTGTCTATTTCGTCATGTCACACATGGATATACCCGCTATAGCTACCAGTTATGGATAACGTTGGAGTACACCAATACATAACAGAATCATAGAGCAAAACCCCATATGTATCTCAGTTTGACGAACAAAAGATATTATCATCTTAGAATTACTCGTGACTATATCCATGAAGTAATCTCTAAGTGTGGTTTGTTCCACTACTTAAATCTCCATTAAGTACTCATGAATGTTGGCGAAATCACTATGCTATGCCCAATCATTATGGTCAATCCACCAATACTCATGACAATCTTGATTCACTACTTACTTCGAAGAGTATGATCGACTGTGGAGGTTTGAGTAAATTAATACTTAGGAAGCGGGTTCCAAACATGCAAAAGTGAAACACAGTAACAAATTAATAGAAATTATAGCTTCACTAGCACTTTACTAAGTCTCCACAAAATAAATAATAACTCAGTTACAGATTAATACTACCAAATGTTTCAAAGGCTATCATACTAAACAACCAAACAAATACACCATATCATCAGCAAATCTAATGCCTATAGATCTAGTATGACTATCATGCTTGATCCTTAAAAATGGATTTGTGAACGGATCGGCTGGATTCTCATCTGACGATACCCTATTCACGACAATGTCTCCATCTTCAACTCGATGTCTTACATAGTGGAATTTCCTTAGTATATGCCTTAAGTTACCATGGTCCCTGGGTTCTTTAGTCAATGTGACTGCACCCTCGTTGCCACAGAAGATTTCCAAAGGATCCTTGATGCTCGGAACGAGACCAAGATCATCAATGAAATTCTTCAACCATGTATCTTCTTTTGCAGCTTCACTAGCCTCTATATACTCTGACTCGCACGTAGATTCTACCACTATCGGCTGCTTGGAACTCTTCCAAGTGACCGCTCCTCCGTTAAGAAAGAATACCCATCCTGACCGCGAACATGAGTTTTCCCTATCAGTTTGGAAACTTGCAATTGTATAACCTGTAACTCTCAACTCATATATGCCCCCTTATACCAAGAACATGTCCTTTGTTCTTCTTAGGTATTTCAAAAATGTTCTTTACTGCTGTCCAATGATTGTTTCCTAGGTTGTCCTGAAAACGACTCACCATGCTCAGAGCAAATGAGACGCCAGGTCGAGTACATGTCATGGCTTACATGATCGATCCTATAGCAGAAGTATATGAGACTCGACTCATTCTTTCCTGTTCATCATTAGAATTAGGACATTTAGTTTTACTCAATTTGATGCCATGTTGCATAGGTAGAAAACCTTTCTTGGAATCTTGCATCTTGAACCTCTTCAAGATCTTATCCAAGTATGTACTCTGGCTCAATCCTATTAGACGTTTTGATCTATCTCTATAGATTCTTATACCAAGTTTGTACGCAGCCTCTCCTAGATCCTTCATAGTGAAACAACTCCCAAG